TGACAAAATAGTTCCAACATCAAACATTTGAACCAAATGTTTGTGCCAACATTTGGACGAAATGTTTGACCAATCATGTTCGTAAATTTGAATATTGTATCTCCAATGTCATAAACCTTTATATTGCCATCCTTTTCACTCTTTATGAATAAGACAGAGAAAGGAATAGTATTCGTACTAATTTTACAATATTCGTGTACAAAAATACAATTTACTGATATATAAGGATTAGTAACTATTTATTTTTATTATGTACTTGTTATATATTTGCTAGCTGTCATACAAACAACCTTAATTGTATATAGAGGTTTTTATGTACTTTTGATACAACTGTTGGCTAAGAAACCTCCCTGTTATAATAGAAGAATCTATTTCTAGGATCTAAACTGGTTTTTGTACTTATTTAATTCAAATAATGAATACAATTCGTCACAGTGAAGAATCTGTATGATATGGTATCCGTACCGAAATTGTATTTGGTACGATGGAGTCAAAATTTATGAAGTTCGTGTAAATATCTGGTACGGTCCTATTCAAGTCTGGTACGCCGATGTCTAGATCTGGTACCACGGAGAGCGGCGCACCCAGCGCAGACGGTACCCGTCCTGTTCAGTACGGATCTTGATAGAGGCACCCTCTGACGCCTTCACTGTTTCCTTTACCTGAATAAAAATGGTTTAAATGTTAAAGTTATATTATTTTTTTTATCAGATGACAAAGAGTTCGCCGAAATGGCGAATCTCTGCCCATAGACATGTTGTTGGTGGCGTCTACTAATGTTATCAATTTGAGACTAACAATTGTTTAAAGAAATAATATCAATAAACAATATTTAATAAACTTACGCTCTGCATGAGGTTCTGAGCGTTGCCGACGAGCATTTCCGTCGCCTCTTGATCTTCTTCGCTACCTATGTACCAAAAACAATTTTTTTTAGTATATTTTAATATGATTTTGTGCCTTTTTAATTATTGTAAAAATAAAAATATAGTTAAACAAAACTTAATTAGCCTATGTGTTCCTCCAGACTGTGTTTTACATCTATGCTTAATTTTAGCTAGATCCATGCAGTGGTTCTGGAAATACCTTCTAACAAACATCCATGCACGCATCATCCTTTAAAGAATGGAAGATATCATGATATATCAGTGGCCAGTATACTGTGAGCTGTTATCTGTATACTCAATATTCTTACCCTGAGCTCCGAGCATGGTGGCCTTCACAGTGGACAGGATCTTAAGCTGGGTTCCAATAGTCGGAATCCTCTCGCACACTTGCAGCAAGTTCTAAAAACAAAAACATCAAAAATATACTTTTAATTGAGTAATTTTCTTTAAATGGTCCTTCGAGCCGGATAACAAATTAATTATTGATCAATAGAAATGTTATTTATTCTTCTAAAGATTTTCTTTATTCTAGAATAAACTTAATATAGTATATAGTATAACCTTGACTAATTATACTAAAAGGGTAGACAGAGATATTTATTTGACTAAGTGTCTGTATCCATACATTTGATTATAAAGAGATATTGTTATTTGTGACTTACAGTACGAATCCTCTTGTCAGTACATTCAAGAGCAAGTTTCTTCGCCAGACGTGTGACCTCCTCTGAGGCCTCCGCGATCGCCTTTGCAGTAGCAATCAGTTCACGCTTACTACCTGTTAAATTTTACTCATATTAGTCATGTATAAAAACTACCTGAGAACTCCATCCACACAGTTAAAAATAAAGTTAATTAGTATATATGTTATTTCTAACTATGTTCTAGTTTAATCCCTCAACAAACCCCGTTGACTCGGATATGGAGATACCTTCTAACGTCCATTCATCCATCTAAACTTTCGCATTTTTAATATTAGTAAAATGAACAAGGATTTTTGTTAATATTTGGTATTAGTAAATTATCGTGATGCAACCTGCACATATCTGAGAAGAGATTCAAAGATATGTGTGAAGTCAACCAACCCGCACTTGGCCAGCGTGGTTGACTACGGCCTAATCACCCTTAACTTAGGGTAGGCTCCGAGCCCCTCGGTGGGGACGTATAGTGAGCTGATGATGATGATGAAATTATTTATTTTTTAATAATTACGATTATATAAATAACATTATGTACATTTATTTAAAGCATTAAGCGTAAAAATAACTGCATTATTTATATGTATTATATTAAAGCTATACATACCGGTAAGATTGAGAGCCACCTCTATCCGTAAGCAGTTGATAAACATATATACAGTGAACAAAGCTTTATAATATACACACGGCTTTATCAGCAATATATATTTATTCATTTAATATTTATAATATTCTCCTTCCTAATTAAGTCGCAGGCTGTGTATTTTTAACCGTGGTTTTCCGATACCAAAATCCGCGTATAAAATATATTGTTATTCTCTGTTTATTCAAATATAATGACAGAGATCACGATGTCAAAAATCCACGGTTAGTTTTGCAATATTGTTTGTATGAGTTTGTAGATGTGAGTGCGGTGCGGTGCGGTGCGATGCGGTACCTTTAGAGTCAGAGCGCACGAGGTCAGAGAGGCGCGCCATGAGGATGGCCATGCGCTTGGCGGCGGCGATGATCTCGTTGTCCTTGGAGGACCACTCGCGTACTGCGCGGTGCAGATTGTGTGCCGCCACCTGACACAACATGTCACGTATTAGTCGTCACGTCAGATTAACGTCAGAATATAAACTGATGATGTTTAAAATGTATATCAGAAGTTAAATCAAATTTAAACTGTAAAACGATGTAATAGATACCAAAATGGGTTGGCTGGGATGCGGCTGGCGTCGGAAGATGTCTTCGCCCTCGTCGTCAGTATCAGGCGGCGGTGGGCGGGGCGGGGCGAGGCCTGGTGCAGGTGGTGCGGG